CAGGGGGAGCTGGGGCTGGGAGGGTGACTGAGTGGCCGGGCAAAGCAGGCCCTGGCCTGTGTTGGGGTGGTGCTTCCCTGGCTGCTGGTGCTGCTGGGGGCTGAGTGCCTCATGGCGTGCTCCTACCTTGCAGGAATCAATGGTGCCCTCTGGGTAACCAGCACACAAGTTGTAGGAATAGACTGCTCCTGAGTACCAGTCACTGCTGTTGCAGACCTGGAGATCGATGAGCTGGACCTTGGCCTGCTGAAGGTGAGCAGGTTGATCTACACCTGTGAGCAGAGAAAGGAATAAGCCCCCAGCAGCTCCATGCTGGTTCTGCTTCTCTGTCAGACGAATCCCTTCCCCTAGGGGCACCCCTTCTCTGCAGGGATTTATGTTCTGCAGCCTGGCTTTGGCCTCTGCTGTGGGGAAGCCCAAAACCTATCTCCAGTGTGCTGAGTCGGCCCAGAAGTCGCTCTTGGAACTCACTTCTTGCAGTAGTGGCCCCCCAGCCAGCAACCCAGCAGTTTCTCAGCTCTGAGACTCTTAGGGTGGGTTCAGCCAGACAGGCCAGCTGGACGTAGGCACTGCACAGGACAGGACGCTCCAATTGAATCAGCGCAATGTCGTAGCTCATGTCTTTACGCCTGTAGTCGCGGTGCATCACCACCTTCTTGACATTGCGCACTTGTGCCCCAGGGCCAAGCTGATACAAGTTGGTGGCCCCAATCACCACATACAGCAGGCTGAAGTTACTGGAATGGAGATGGAGAGAGAGATAAGAGGGAGTCACAGCAGCCCAGCAGTTGCTAGACCTCGGCTTGGAAAGGCACAGAGGGAGGAGTGCTCTGGCAGGTGAGAGTGCTCTCGCACATCTTAGGCTGGGGGAATGTCAAGCTGGAGGCTGCTAGGAAGACTTGGCACGAGCCCAGGCTTCTCCTGAGCACTGTGGCAGCCTGGCTGCCTGAGAGGAAAGGGGATGAGAGTAGCAGGTGGCACTGCTGGCAGGGCACCTGCTGGTGTTGTGGAGATGTCCCCATTCCCTGCCCCTTCTTACTCAAACTTGTCGAAGCAGTGGGCTGCTGTGAGGACCCAATCTCCAGTGATGAGGGAACCTCCACACCAATGTTTTGTGCCTGGTACCCATGGGTGCTGGATGCTGACGAGCCAGGGCCATTCTGCTACTGCGGAACCAGCACCACCCACGATGCGTGTCATGCCGTAGTCATAAACCACATTGCCGTAGGAATAAGCCACAGGTCGGTACCCACAGCTCCCTCTGCAAGCAGAAAGTCATTTCCATGGTGCTTCATGGCCTGCTGTGGCTCAGGCTGAAGCTCAGCCCTCTGCCCTCCCCACAAGGCCGTGCTTCATGGCCTGCTGTGGCTCAGGCTGAAGCTCAGCCCTCTGCCCTCCCCACAAGCCTTGCACGCACAGCAGGCCATGGGGTGTGTGTCTGTCCGTGCCAGCACCTGGCCGCTGGCAAGGAACCGAGGCTTCCCATGGTGGGTGGGAAGCTGCGGCCTGGCCATGGGGGACGGGTGGGTCCCCTCCAGGGAAGGCCGCAAGTGTTGCCATGGCTCCTTCCCTGGGCCTAGGCCCGCTTACCCGCAGGTGTACTGGCTCTGTGCCAGCCCGGCCATGGTCAGCAGGACGAAGAGGCTGAGCCAATTCATGTCTGCCAGAGGCATGAGTCAGCTGCAAGCACTGAGAGCTCCGTGCAGCAGCACAGTCACAGCCGCACTGCCCGCAGCAGCTGTGCTGCCCGTGGTGCCCTTGGTCCTGGTGCTGATGTCACAGACGGGTGGGTTCCATGTTCTGAGCACTGAGGGGTTCTGTGGCACAGGGCCCACTGGGGGAGGGGCAACATGGAATCAGTGAGCCATGGATTGGTTTGGGCTGTAAGGGACTTTAGAAGTCATCTGCCTCTGATCCCTTGCCTTGGGCATGGAGAAATGGCTTGCATTGAAGAAAGCTGCGCAGAGCCTGGCTCAGAAGCTGTCCTTGAACGCTTTGAGATATGGGATATTGAAGTACTAAGTCCTGATCAACAGGCCCTGACTGAGGCAGGAGCAACACCCCTTGAGCAAAAGTTGATCTCTAGATTGACCTTCTAGCCAGATGTTATCTATATCTGCTCACTGGCAAAATATGGATTTTCCTTTCCGTATTTAGAAGCTGGACAAGGCAACATCTGGCCTCCTTTTGGGGTGTAGGATCACAGACAATTCCTTTGGTTCCTCCTGAAGCCCTCCAAGGCCTTGGGAGCATCCCAATAGGAGAACAAAACCAGATGTTCCTGCTGTAGAAGTTATGGTAGCTTGTTTATTCAACAGTATGAAAAGAGGGCCCTCTCCCAGTGCAGTCAGACCTCATTGCCTGTTGGGGAAGGCACCTGCAGAATTTCCTACTTGCAAGGAGTGGTTCCCCTGTATTTTGACAGTGGCTTCCCCCAGCTGAATGGGTAGACCTGGATGATGGTAAAGTATTAGGGAAATTTGTGATGTGTCTTTCTTCATCACTGTAGGCAGTCTTTTATAGTAATGATTAGATGCATTGCTTAGCTTACCCTTTTGTAATTCTTTGCAGTTTTGGGTTACAGTAAATTACACTTGTTCCTGAAGTTGGTGTCTGTGTCTTCTCTACTGACCCTGACTATGGGAAAAGGAGGACTTCACACTGCTCTGGGCAACCTATGCCTGTGTCTCAGTGTCTTTGAGTGTTTTATTATGATAGTATATTCAGATATCCTCTATTCTCTTTCCAGAAATTGTTACTGTATCTTTAAGACCCTGCAATCCTGGGACCTTGAGTGTGTGAAGCAGAGGGAACAAAGTGTTTTTGTTCTGCGTGGGTGTTTTTTAAAAGATCCCTACTCAGGTTTTGCAGGGCTCTGTGCAGTGTGATTTTATCGTGGCTGGCTTGGTTTTTGCCTAGGCAAAAGCTTTTCCTTTCCTTGTATAATATGTGGTGTGAGAGAATTTGTGCTTATATGAGATACATATGAAATAAAGTTGTAAGTAAAATTGTGCATGTAACAAAAATCCAAAAAAGATTTGCTAAGACCACGGATAGTCAGGAGACAGAGTGCCACATAGAAATTGTGAAACTCCAGATGGTAGCAAGGAAAGAAAGCGCAATTAGCAAGCGAAAGGGCATTGCTGGTGTGGAGATGGGCCCTTCCATGAACACTTGATAAGTATCTTCAATCAAGATAACCAGAATTGTCAAGAACACACATCTGAATACCGGCGTTCTCATAACTCAATATCAACACTCGTCTCCCAGAAACAGCATTTTCCAGCCCTGTACAGAGAAAGAAGACTTCATGCATATGCGGAGTAACGAGTAGAATAGGGGCACTTCTGCCTCGGGCAGAAAAAACCATATAAAACCAGCCCTGACACAGACGGCATTTGTGAACAGAGGGAGATCGGATGAGTTAGAGGTCGGATCGAGGTTCACGGAGCATCGATCCCGGGCTCAACGCTGTGTCTTTGGCTGTGGCTATCAAGGACCGTATTTTTTGTCACAAAAATAAAATCTTTGTTATTATTATTAATTTGGCTTTTTCATTTATTACATATAACACTTGTCTCGGAGAATCGGCAGTAGCGATTTTTGGGCTGCCTTGAGGCAAATTGAGCAGCTGCTTGTCTGAGACCGGGGATATCACACTGGCAGGAGTGGAGCTCCCCTGCTCCAACCCAAACCACTGTGAACTGTGCCAACATGTGGAAAGAACACACCAAATGACTCCAGCCCAGATATTTCACCTGCCATGACTGTTCTGCTGTTCTTTGCTGTGGGGAGGAGGTAAGCGTCAGATGAGCCATGAGGTCTTCATCTGCTGCTGGGCCTTCGTCTGCTCCATGAGGCTCCTGCCTTGCAAAGGGGGAGAAGTTGATGCCATCTCTTATCATGTATAAGGAATGGGTATTCACCAGCATTTTGGGTCTCTTTTGGTTCTGGTGGAGTGATGAGGTCTAGCACTTTGATATGTACAATATATTTACTTTTTATTTGTTCCTGCCTGTTGGCATTTGGTTTGTAAACAAAAATGTTGGGGTTTTGTTGGTTTTTTTTCACTTTCCTTTATTAGTATTCATTCCTTACTGGTGGAAAGGGATTCTTGCAGTCTAAAATCTAAAGGAGATAACCCATATGGTTCTCTTCTAAATAGTCTCAAAATTAGACAAAATTTATTTCCCAACTTAAGAGTGCAAGAGAAAGTAAAAAATTAAAAAAATAACTCTTATCTGAAAGACTTTGTACTGGGTACAACAGTCAATGGTTACTGTGCTGCCTGTTCAATAGTGACTTCATGGCACCTAGGAGTGTGTGCTTATCCATATATATTGGCAATCCTGGCCCTAGTATATATCTTCATATCAGGGACACTAATCAGAATTGCTGTGTTGATATGCTCTGTGCTAATAATTTATGGAAAGACATCAGAGGTAATAAGAGTTATTTGGGAAGTGTATTCTCTTGTGTTTTCCTGTGCTGGCCTTGGCAGTCTTTTTTTGGGGATTTATTAGCAATTACAATTACAATTAACAACTTCCTCTGTTGGAGGAAAAGTAGGTGTCCAGGTTTAGAGCAAATTTGGGGGAGAATTCCCCACAGGAGCTCCGGTCGGAAAACAGATCCAAATCGGCCCCTCCCCACAACTGGTTCGGGAGGAAAAAATAATACCTCCTTGGAGAAAGGTGGAAAAAAACTGTTTAGTAAACAATAAAACCGAAACAATATCAAACAATAAAATCCCTTGCTAGTCCAAAAGAGATGACAAACTGAGAAAGTCCCTCCCCGGGTTGCAGTTCAGCTCACTCAGTCTCTGGTCAGCCCCTCCGGTGCTGGAAATGTCGCAGGCCAGGCCTGGCCTGGTGGGCCACAGGGGCAGCTGCCGGTGCTCCCCTGGGTGTTCAGTCCAGAGCAGGTTTCAAGAGGTCCAAAGAAAAAGAAAAAAAGAAAACCCAAAAGTCCAGGGAACTTCTTTGCCTCAGCTAGCTAACACTAACTAAAAAGCAAAAGAAGAGCTCTGTCCCGCTGTCTATGCATCCCCAGACAACACTGTTCAGGAGGAGGAATGTGGAGGAGTGGAGTACAGTGTCTAAAAACAAACTGCGCGCTTCTTCTCTCCCTCCCTTCACTCTCTGGAACACTCTTAAAGGTGCAAAACTTATTATTCAACATAAACAGAATGAGATGAATGGGGACAAAAGCATCATATAGTCAACCCAGGATATTCCACCTCTCATCCCCATATCATCTGCTTACTACTAAACTAATATAAATTCTAACTCTACAAGCATATACATGAGACATCCATTATACAGCTGTACACAAACAATGGTAGTAACATTCAGCAAACAGTGATATTTACACATAGGTCACCTAACAATCAGATCTCCCTGAGGTACACATCGTGTTCTTCCATTTTTTTGCATTATCCACCATGTGCAAACTGGTCCCTGAGCAAAAACAACCCCACGAATGGATTTGTCTGTATTCGAGGCAGGATTAATCCAAACTGTCTTCCCTAACAAATCTCTGACATGTACCACTGGGACTTTGTCTCCATCTACTCTATGCAAAGGCTTAGATTGGGCAGGCCCCACTCAGTTAGCAGAGCCTCGGGTATTAACTAACCAGGTGGCTTTTGCCAGATGCTGCTCCCAGTTCTTGAAAGATCCCCCACCTAATGCTTTCAATGTGGTTTTTAACAGTCCGTTGTACCTCTCCACTTTGCCTGCAGCTGGTGCATAGCAGGAGATATGGTACACTCACTGAATGCCATGTTCCCTAGCCCAGGTGTTGATAAGGCTGTTCTTGAAATGAGTCCCATTGTCTGACTCGATCCTCTCAGGGGTGCCCTGTCTCCACAGGAATTGCTTTTCAAGGCCCAGGATGGTGTTCTGGGCAGTAGCATGAGACACAGGGTACATTTCCAACCATCCAGTGGTGGCTTCCACCATGGTCAGCACGTAGTGCTTGCTCTGGCGTATCTGGGGCAGTGTGATGTAGTCAATCTGCCAGGCCTCCCCATACTTGTACTTGGACCACTGCCCACCATACCATAGGGGCTTCACTTGCTTGGCCTGCTTGATGGCAGGACACGTCTCACAGTCATGGATGACCTGAGAAATACTGTCCATGGTTAAATCCGCTCCTTGGTCTCGTGCCCACTTATAGGTGGCATCCCTTCCCTGATGGCCTGAGGCATCATGGGCCCATCGAGCTAGGAATAACTCTCCTTTATGTTGCCAATCTAAGTCTATCTTTGAGACCTCTATCTTTGCAGCCTGGCCTACTTGCTCATTGTTTTGGTGCTCCTCATTAGCTCTACTCTTGGGTACATGGGCATCTACATGGCGGACCTTCACAGGCAGCTTCCCTACCCTGGTAGCAATGTCTTTCCACTCACCAGCAGCCCAAATTGGTTTTCCTCTATGCTGCCAGTTAGCCTCTTTCCACCTCTCCAGCCATCCCCACAGAGCATTGGCTACCATCCATTAATCAGTATAAAGGTAGAGCTTTGGCCATTTCTCTCTCTCAGCAATGTTCACGGCCAGTTAAACAGCTTTGAGGTCAGCAAGTTGTCTTGATCCACCTTCTCCTTCAGTGGCCTCTGCGACCTGTCAGAGGGGCTCCATGCGGCTACTTTCCACTTCTGGT